GGGATAAAACCCCGGCGAGCCGCTGCTAAAGGGGGGATCCCAGCCGGTTTCTTTTGGAGGGGGGGGCTTTTCCTCAGCATCTCCTGCCGACACCGTTCGTGAAGATTTTCCACCCAAAGCGGCGCCTCCGGTATTTTCCCGGGAAGGACGCGATGTCCGTGCCCTGCTAAGCAGCCCGGGGCTCCGGCCCTGGCACGGGTGCCACCTCTGCTGCCAAGCGGGGACGATGGGCGGATGAATCGGCAAAGAGAACCTCGTTCCCTCAACCTCCCCCTGCTCGGAGAGGGGCTGGCCAGGATCTACCGCGGCATCCTGGCCGTGGTGGCGGCGCTGCGCCCGCCCAAGGAGCCGCCCGCAGCCCCGGCCGAGCGGAGCGCTGCCGCCTCCGCGCCCGCGGAGCGCCGTGGGAGCCGCGCCGTGCCCGCGGGTAAGCCAGGGCACGGTGCCCAGCTGGGGGGGCACGGTCCGGTTGGGTTGGGTGAGGCAGATTTTGGCTTTGCCACCCCGGTGACCTGCTTGGAAGAGCTTTCCAGGGATGCGCTGCGGCCGTGCGGGCAGCGCTGCGTCCCTCAGCGGCTGCGGGAGGAGGAATAAAAACTTTGTGCGGGGTTTGAGGTGGAATTATCGCCGGGAGGGAAGAACCGGCAGCCTTTCCTTCGGCCTCGGAGGGTTTCCAGGTCCCTTTTCCTGGCTGTTTCCTTGCGGGACCATCCCTGCCCGCTGCGGGTGGCATCTCTGGGGGTGGCCGCTCCCCCCGGGGGAGTTTTGGGGTGTTTGGTGTGGTGGAGGTGCTGCCGTGACCTCGTCGATGCCACCATGACCTCTCTGGTGTCACCATGACCACCCCAGTGCCCCTGTGATCTCCTTGGTGCCACCACGACCTTCTTGGTGCCACCATGACATCACTGGTGCCACCATGACCACACCGGTGCTCCTGTGATCTCCTCGGTGTCACCACGACCTTCTTGGTGCCACCATGACATCCCCGGTGCCACCGTGACCACCCCGTTGCCACCGTGACCTCCCTGGTGTCACCATGACCACCCCAGTGCCCCTGTGATCTCCTGGGTGTCACCACGACCTTCTTGGTGCCACCATGACATCCCTGGTGCCGCCATGACCACCGCGGTACCACAGGGACTTCCCTGGTGGCACCACGACCTCCCTGGTGTCACCATGACCACCCCGGTGCTCCTGTGATCTCCTCGGTGTCACCACGACCTTCTTGGTGCCACTTTGACCACCGTGCCCCTGTGATCTCCTTGGTGTCACTGTGACCTCCCTGGTGCCACAGTGACCACCCTGGTGCCCCTGTGATCTCGGTGTCACCGTGACCTCCCTGGTGCCACCGTGACCACCCCGGTGCCACTGTGATCTCCTCGGTGCCACCATGACAATCCTGGTGCCACTGTGATATCCTTGGTGCCACCGTGACCACCCCGGTGCCACTGTGATCTCCTTGGTGCCACCTTGACCTCCCTGGTGCCACCGTGACCTCCTCAGTGCCACCGTGACCTCCCTGATGCCACTGAGAAATCCCTGGTGCCACCTTGACCTCCCCAGTGCCACCGTGACCTCCCTGGTGCCGCCAAGATCTCCCCGGTGGTGCTGTGACCTCCTCGGTGCCACCTTGACCTTTCCAGTGCCAGCATGACCTCCCTGGTGCCACCGTGACCTCCTCGGTGCCACCGTGACCTTTCCAGTGTCACCGTAACCACTCTGGTGCCACCGTGACCTCCTCGGTGCCACCGTGACCTTTCCAGTGTCACCGTAACCACTCTGGTGCCACCGTGACCTCCCTGGTGCCACCATGACCTCTCTGGTGCTGCTGTGACCTCCCTGATGCCACCGAGAGCTCCCTGGTGCCTCCTTGACCCCCCAGTGCCGCCGTGACCTTCCTGGTACCACCACGACCTTCCCAGTGCCAGCATGACCACCCCGGTGCCTCCTTGACCCCTCTGGTGCCACCCTGACCTCCCTGGCTGGCACCGCTCCGAGGCCTGGGGACAGCAGCTCCCAGATGACGTGAGACCCTCCAAAGTGGCTTTCTCGGGGTCCTGGAGCCCCCCTGGGCACCGAGGCGGTGCCAGGCACGGGCAGCACGCGCGGATTCCGGGCATCCATCGGCCCTGGCAGGCAGATCCCGGCGGGTGCTGAGCGAAAGGACGGGTCCCTGTCACCTCGGGACCCGCTGCCAGTCCCCCTGTGCCCTCCCCTGCCTGCCCGGGCTGGGCTGAGCCCCGGGAAGGGCTGGCACGGGGCAGAGCATCCCGGAGATCCCGGGTTTGGTGCCCGCGGGCACCGGAACGCGGCTGGAATAGGGCAAAGTATCCCGGGATCCCGGGTTTGGTGGCCCCGGGCACCGGAACGCGGCTGGAATAGGGCAGAGCATCCTGGAGATCCCGGGTTTGGTGCCCCCGGGCACCGGGAAGGGCTGGCACGGGGCAGAGCATCCCGGGGATCCCAGATTCGGTGCCCCCGGGCATGGGGTAGTGCTGGGATGGGGCAGAGCATCCCAGAGATCCCGGGTTTGGTGGCCCCGGGCACCGGAACGGGGCTGGAATAGGGCAGAGCATCCCGGGGATCCCGGGTTTGGTACCCTCGGGCACCGGGAAGGGCTGGCACGGGGCAGAGCATCCCGGGGATCCCAGATTCGGTGCCCGTGGGCACCGGGAGGGACTGGAGGAACTGGCATGGAGCAGATTTGGTGCCCCCGGGAGCCACAAGGGCTGGGATAAGGGAGAACATCCCAGAGATCCTGGATTTGGTGCCCGCGGGCACCGGAATGTGGCTGGAATAGGGCAGAGCATCCTGGAGATCCCGGGTTTGGTGGCACTGGGCACCGGGAAGGGCTGGCACGGGGCAGAGCATCCCGGGGATCCCGGGTTTGGTGCCCCCGGGCACCGGGAAG